AGAGTTCCTCAAACAATAATAATAATAATAATAATAGGTAGGGTATTCTGTTTATTTCTCTGCTAGACATTTGACAATTAATTATTTTGACAATTATTAATTTATGCAACTCCAGTGTCTTGATTTTATTGAGGTTTAGTGCACGGTCATAGCCATAAATGCAATGCTAATAATAATTGGCATAATAGCTTATTTTCTTGTGGTGTTTTGGTTTTTGGTTTTTGGCCTTGGTTTTCTCATTTTCAGTTTTCAGTTTCGACCAAGAGTCTTTATTTTGGAGCATCACCAATATAATGTAAACCAATGGTCTCCAACTGTACTTCCAACTGGATGCCTTTTATTCAGGCTAATTGTGTCTAAACTACATTAAATGCTTTTGTCCAACGTCATATTAATGCAATCAACAAAACTCTGCAACTATCATATCAAACTAGCCATAGCTGTACTGCTTTGAGAATTTAACAGCACATATACTTCAGTTTTAGTTGTATTATTCAGCTGCATTTCAACCTCAAAAGTAAATGCATGTGACCTGTTTTTTTACTTAAGACGACTTTGGTTTATGAAGGACAAGCAGATCATATCAAGTTATATGCTTATCCAATGATGCATCATTCAAGTCACATCAATATCAGTAGTTTAGAAAATAGCACTCACAGCCTTATTTCGAGCAGTAGGTTTTGTGAAAAGCAGCTGATGAACCTTCAATCCCACTTCCAGTTCAGCAACTTTCTTTGCTTTTTATTGCAGATTGAGCTGTTGGCCAGGGAAACGGTCTTTAAATTTGCCATTGTTTATGTTATGGTGCACAGCATACGTAAACACTTGTTTTTCAACATGCTGAAAAGAAATTCCTCTTCCCATTCTGAATGAATGTTATACTTTTTCAACTTCTTTTTTGGAGCCTCCATCATGGCCACTGACAACTTCTATCAGTGCCAATATACTTTGATCTTACTGATCAATTTAATGCCACCTGTGCAAGGAATTGCTGTTACAACAAACAGAATGCACTGGCAGCAGAGTTGTGAGTGAGTACGAGGTCAGAAGGTCCGAGCGATGGCTTCTCACATTCGACAATCTCAACCATCAAAGTAAAAGAAATTGCAAATTTTTCAGTCACCTGGGATTTTGTTTAACGACAAAATCGTTGACAACGGCGTCTTCTGAAAGTACATCTGTCATTAAGTGTGGACCAGCTGTATTAAATAATATAAAATGGATTTAAATAAAAAAATATTGTTCGAATGTTGAATACGTAGAATCTAACATCAGTATCACCCTATGATCCTTTAAGGTAGTGCATTTAAGGGGCGACTCTTTGTTAGCGTGGCTAATTACCCACAGGAGGTTTCTATAGTCCTGAATAAACATTCCATTGACCGCATAAGAGCCTTCCGCAAATCAGGGAAAAGTCAATAAAGAAATCTTTTTACAGTCTTACGGCATATCCACATGGGAGCATCATTAGGTTGAAACTAGGGATGTACAAAAATATCAGCTTACCAATATTATCAGCCTAATATTAGTATCATTATGTAATATCTGTAAAAATTATTATTGCTTTTTTAGGCCGAAAATGAAAATCTTATAACGCATAGCCTGGCTTTTGCCAAATATGCTGGAATCCCTTGTGGGGTTCTGAGATGTTTAAAGCAGTTTTGGAGGAAAATGCTTGGACAGTATCGGCATATTGAATTTCAGCAAAAAGCTAATACCAGACATCCCCAGTTGTTGTTGAGAACAGGTACCAGAATGGGGAAATCTTGCTGTTGCCATGTAGACAGTGCGAACCACTCTTTTAGAACGGTGACGTCGCCACCCCGTAACCATCAGTTTACTAGAAGAACCCAGAAGGCTGCAGGTGGTAACAACAACAATACTGGGTGGCGTAGTTGTGTTTGGGTCTGGCTTCTGTCAAGTAAACCATTCTAATGTAACGTGCCAAAACTAATGGAGCATCCAAGGTGTCTGTGCGGCTTGTCGGAAGCAAGGACAAATACTTGTGAGTGTTAGCTTCCTATCCTGTTCTTCGCATCAATATACATGAGCAAATTGATTGGCTGCAAAACTGGCAGGAAGTGTTGCAAGAGTCGCCAGTTGTGGCTAGTCATACACAGAGTATTGTAACGTAAGTGTGCCGTCATTGTACATGCAACGTTACGCACTTTCACTTTCACTATCAGTTACGCGTGCTGTCATGGAAAAAGGAAAACTTTTAGGTTAAAGGAAAGGTCATATTAAACACAGTGGCAAACAGACATTTAAAGTGAAATGACAAAGTTCAAAGCCATAGCAAGTTTAAGCACTCAGGTATAAGAGGTCAAGAGAGTGAAAGGTCATGGCTGCTATGACTACGAGGAGGAGGGGTGGTTATATGGCAATACAGTGTGCCCTCTCTATATCGCAATACTCCTTTCGCTCCCTCAGTATATCGCAGATTTTTTTAATCCGATTTCGCAAAATGTTTGCTATATCGTCAGATATAGCAAAAAATAAACTAAACGACATAAAATAATTATACACACAAAGGTTTTGGCTTAAAAAATGTAAATGACGAAATTGAAATTCAGATAAGCGCATTTGCGAATGATCGCTGGTAGCTGTTTACCTAGACGAGCGATACATAAATATACACGTAAACCTCTCTAAAGCTCTACTTTTTTACGCAATTTTTCACATTTCGCGGTGGGTCTTAGAACACAACTACCGCGATAGGAGAGGGATCACGGTACTGACATTGCTTACTGTGCATTCCCCACACATGAACACACACACGCTCATCATTTGCCTCATACTCATCTTCTGTATCTATCTTCCCCCCTCCGGCTCTCTCTCTCACACACACACACACACAAATCTACACACCTACACAAGCTTATTTATACTTACAAATGTTACATTTGCAAGATTTTAATTCATGTGACAAAAATGCATCTATCTCTTATTTTGAAAAATAAAACAAAACAGACAAATCACAAAAATGTTAATGTAATTGCTCAACTGATTTGCTCTAACATACTACACCAGAGGTTCCCAAAGTGGGGGGAGCAGTGCCATTGCAGTCACATTTAAAATATGTGAAAACAACCAATGTGTGTGTCGCATTGTGACATTTTCATGCATTGTAATTCCCAGACTATTGAACGCACCGGAATATAGGCCACAACCACAGTATAACACACAGCAGCCTACCAGGAAAGTCATTCATCGCTAGCAATATGAACTTCGCCAACCCGTAAAAATCCATAAATTAGCCACATCATTGTTCAAGCCACAGGGTTCAAAGTGTGTAAAAAAAGTAGTGGCTTATAGTCCAGAAATTACAGCATGTTTTAAAATAACTTATTTTAGGTCCATGTTCTACAGTAGTTCTTTAATTAGTTCCAACTAAATTTTGTGTTTGTTTGTGCTCTTTTCATAGATAATCTACCTATTGGGTTATACTTCTCAACAGGTTATTACTGTTAGCATAGTTATAAGATCTCTAAGGGAATGACTTACAACCTGATGACAAGATGTCAAGTGGGCCAGACCAGTGCAATCATAACATGATTACCTGCAAATAACAATACCAACGTTTTCCCCTATTGTTTTCATGCAAAGAAGTTCAAATGTATAAGATAAATCTTCATATTTATTGAAACAACTTTTTATAAAACATTTTCTGACAATAACAATTTTGTGTATTTTCTATTTTCAAAATTCATCAAGTGGGCCAATTTTTGCCCACGGGCCATGTATTGAACACTTCTGGTTTATAAAGAGACAGAAAAAACAGACTGATGTAATGGAGCCTGAGACAGTATGTGTAGTGGCCTGTTCCTTCAACTGACAGTTGTAAAACTCTAAAACGGGAGGTAATTTACCTTTTTAGATATGTCATAGTTTTTGTATAATTTTTATTTGACATTGTTCTTCTATTATTTTTTAAAAAGAATTCAATTCTGCGTTGAAAATGCACCTCTCTGCACCACAACCTAACAAGCACAACCCTAGTATTTTAGTATTATCCTAGTATTTTCATTTTACCAGGTATACTCCAGGTGATATAACAATACAAACAAACTATAAAACAAATATTTTAGAACCGGTTAGGGAATAAGTGGAGCATAAGTGGAGTGACAAATACCAACAACAGCACTTTCAGCTGACAGTAGCACAAGTAATGTTGACATTTCGTAAAACTTGAAACATTTATTTAGTTTCTTCTGTTTTTTTTTTTCCTTGGCCTATATCAAGTATTACAAGGGTAAATAGAGTAGACAAATATGTTTCTGTTTGTAATATGTTCGTAATACCAATAAGATTTCCCTATGTTTTGTGGTGTGCATAAAAAATGTTCAGCCCTTTTGCATTATTAAAAAAAAAAGAATGCAAGCAAACTGCAAAGGTTTTTTTTTAATTATTATTGGATCTGTAACGGCTTACAGAAGGTGCACAATCTCATCGAGAATCCAACTGAACGTTTCAGGAATTTGATCAGTTTTTATTCATTTATGAAACACAACAATATGCAATTTAATTATCTGTTATTATTTTTATCGTTTAAGCAGTGCAACCATACATTTGGCAGTGATTGCTGAATTGTTTTTATTATTTTTTATACATATTATTTTGTGTTGTTAAATTAAAAAGCTAAATTACTGTTGATTGGTCTTCGATGCTTGTGGGGCAAAACATTCTCCAACCTTGTCTCCATTCTCATAGCCCTGG